CTTGCCAGCAAGTTAAAGAAGTATGGGCTGGATGAATGGACTATAAGGTGGCTAGAAAGTTGGCTAGATTGTCGGGCTCAACGGGTAGTGATCAACGGCTCCATGTCTAGTTGGCAGCCGGTTTCAAGCGGCGTGCCCCAAGGGTCGGTCCTGGGGCCAGTTTTGTTCAATATCTTCATTAATGATCTGGAGGATGGCGTGGACTGCACTCTCAGCAAGTTTGCAGATTACACTAAACTGGGAGGAGTGGTAGATACGCTGGAGGGTAGGGATAGGATACAGAGGGACCTAGACAAATTAGAGGATTGGGCCAAAAGAAACCTGATGAGGTTCAACAAGGACAAGTGCAGAGTCCTGCACTTAGGATGGAAGAATCCCATTTACTGTTACAGACTAGGGACCGAGTGGCTAGGCAGCAGTTCTGCAGAAAAGGACCTAGGTGTTACAGTGGACGAGAAGCTGGATATGAGTCAACAGTGTGCCCTTGTTGCCAAGAAGCTAACGGCATTTTGGGCTGTATAAGTAGGGGCATTGCCAGCAGATCGAGGGACGTGATCATTCCCCTCTATTCGACATTGGTGAGGCCTCACCTGGAGTACTGTGTCCAGTTTTGGGCCCCACACTACAAGGAGGATGTGGAAAAATTGGAAAGAGTCCATCGGAGGGCAACAAAAATGATTAAGGGGCTGGAGCACATGAGTTATGAGGAGAGGCTGAGGGAACTGGGATTGTTTAGTCTGCAGAAGAGGGGGGATTTGATAGCTGCTTTCAACTACCTGAAAGGGGGTTCCAAAGAGGATGGATCTAGACTGTTCAGTGGTACCAGATGACAGAACAAGGAGTAATGGTCTCAAGTTGCAGTGGGGGAGGTTTAGGTTGGATATTAGGAAAAACTTTTTCACTAGGAGGGTGGTGAAGCACTGGAATGGGTTACCTAGAGAGGTGGTGGAATCTCCTTCCTTAGAGGTTTTTAAGGTCAGGCTTGACAAAGCCCTGGCTGGGATGATTTAGTTGGGATTAGGTCCTGCTTTGAGCAGGGGCTTGGACTAGATGACCTCCTGAGGTCCCTTCCAACCCTGATATTCTAATCATTCAGCAAGCCTGGAGCTAAATATTGGGCAAACCTGGAGGCTGATCTATGGGTTATGGTGGAAATGTTGTAAAGCTCACTAGTTTCAAAGGATTTGGGACACTGAACACTGCCGTTGTTAGGATCTGAGTGAAACTTGTTATGGGTTGAGTTAAAACACCATTGAGATGGATAGGGGAGTACTTACCCTTCAATTAACATAACTGTAAGCATAAACCCCCACTTAAGACAAAAGATGTGGGTGAACCCACCCAGGAGCCTTTGTCTGAGTATACTTTTGGGTAGGGGTGTGTGGGGGAAAAGAGATCGCACAGAAACTGAGATCAGGCAAGAACAGAGAGAGAGGGACTGAGGCGAGTTAATAAAGCCAAGCAAGACCCTGTAAGCACAGTGTGACTCTGGAAAAAGCTAGAGCGAGAGCTTTGGGTTTGGTGTTGACTAACAAGGCCTGGGGGCTGTAAGCCAAGCTCCTTTGTTCTTGGTTCCTTCTGCATTCAGAGACACAGGACTTTGTACACTCTTTGTAAACAAACAAGACTGCATCAAAGAAAATAGCAGCTGCCATCAACTTCTATTTCCAACTGGAATGTCCCCAGGGCCCCAAACTTCGACTAGCTGCTCGGGTCGAAAAGTGGTAACAATATTCAGCATGATGCGCAGAGCTCAGCTCTTGCTTTGAAACAGGCTTTTTGTTACACATTGGGCTGTGTTCGTGAATCTTTCAGGCAGCCTAGGGCTAAACTTTGGCCAAACCTTGGGGGCTGATCTATGGGTTGGGATAGAAATTATGCAAATCTCACTGGTTTCAAAGGATTTCAGGAATTGAGCTTTGGGGTGAATCAATCATGAAACCAAGATGAATGGAAACTGGAAAATGAAAAATAAGTTGCACAGCTTCCTACATCTCTAGCTGCTGCATTGGTCTGAAACAGTCACGGTGCATCTCTGTTTGCTAGCATTAGTGGAAAACAAACAGTGACTCTGTATTGGAAACAGCCATTATGTTTCAATTTCTAGCCACAGGAACAAATCATGCAAAGGAACTTTAATGGAAACTGATACTAAACCATTTAGCAAGGTCAGCCCTGTCCCCTTGCCCTCAGTTAGTAAAAAGCAGCATATGCAGCCACAGCAGAACCCAAGGGAGTGGGTCTTTTACTGATCCCTGTGCCCAGCAATGCAAAGAGATTACATGGCTAATTCTCTAAATGCATCTAACGGCTGCAGACTGCAGGTTATCATGGCAGTGCCATCCCTGAGGTTCTCTTATGGGTAGAAAAAACCCCATGGGTAACTCATTTTGCATAAGGAAACATTTTCCCAGCATGCATCTAGTCCATGAGAAGCTGCTACCATGTGATCATCTCAAATAAAACAGGGAATTATTGCGACCTCTTACCAGTGAGCTGAACATTGTATGCAGGGCGACGTCTCTCTCTAACCACATATAATTATTATAGTAGCAATATAGAGCTGGAAGGGACTTCAAGAAATCATCTAGTGCTAGCCCATCCCCTCACTCTACGGTGGGATTAAGTATTATCTAGACCATCCCCGACAGGTGTTTGTCTACCCCTGTTCTTAAAAGCCTCCAATGATGGGGATTCCACAATCTCCCTGGGTCACCTGTTCCAATGCTTATGTTAGAAACTTTTTCTTAATATCTAACCTGTCTCCCCCTTGCTTCAAACTAAATCAATCACTTCCTGTCCTACCATCAGTAGACATGGAGAACAATTGATCACTGTCATCTTTATAACAGCCCTTAACATATTTGAAGACTGTGATCACCCCCCCTCCCCCCATCTTCTTTTATTCTCTAGACTAAAGATGTCTTTCAATCTTTCCTCAGAGGTCACATTTTCTAACCAGTGTCATTTTTATTGTTTTATTGTGACTCTCTCCAATTTGTCCACATCTTTCTTAAAGTGCAGTGCCCAACACTGGACATAGTACTCCAGCTGAGGCCCCACCAGTGCCAAGTAGAGTGGGATAAATACCTCCCATGTCCTACACACGACACTCCTGTTAATACATGCCAGAATTACATGGGCTTTTTTGCAACAGCATCATGTTGTGGACTCCTATTCAATTTGTGATCCACTATAACCCCCACATCTTTTTCTTCTGTACTACCACCTACCCAGCTATTCCCCATTTTGTAGCTGTGTATTGAGTTTCCCTTCTAAGTACAGTACTTCACACTTATCTTTACCGAATTTCATCTTGTTGATTTCAAACCAATTCTCCAGTCTGTCTAGGTTGGTATCAATTCTAATCCTGTCCTCCAAAGCGCTTGCAACCGCTCCAAGCTTGGTATCATCCTCAAATTTTATAAGTGTACTTTCCACCCCATTATCTAAGTCATTAATGAAATTATTGACTAGTACTTGACCTAGGACTGACTCCTGTGGGACCCCACTAGATATGTCCTCCTATCAAACCATTGATAACTACTCTTCGAGTATGGTATTTTTCAATGAGTTATACATCCATATATAGTAATTTCATCTAGACCAGCGTTTTTCAACCTGGGGCTGCAGACTATGTATAAGATTTCCAAAGGAGTCTGCATCTCCATTCAAAATTTTTGAGGGGTCTGCAAATGAAAAAAGGTTGAAAACCACTGATATAGATCACGATTCCCTAATCTGATTCTGAGTTATAGCTGAAGTGCAAACAACCTCAGCTGGTTTATAACTTTCAAACAACACCCCCCCCCCTTTTTTTTTGGTGGAAATTTGGCCATTTCTCAAAATGAGAATTTTTTGCAAAAACTTTTTTTTCTTTTTCAAATCCCTTATTCCAAATATTTTCAGTAGAAGTTTTTAAGGGGGAAAAAAAGACGCCTGTTAAATATTTTTGTTTGTTTTTCCATTTCTGTTGTCATTCTGCATTGCCAATTTTAGATCAGTTGAGTCACATGGAGGGAATTTTTGTTCCCCAAAGTGGAATTTTTTGAATAACACCGACGGATCTCAAAGCAATTTACAAAGGTCAGTATCATTATCCCCATTTTAAATATGGGAAAACTGAGGCTCAGAGCAAGGCCATGACTTGCTCAAGGTGACCCAGCAGGGCCGTGGCTAAGCCAGGACTAGAACCTAGAGTCCCAGTTCCATGCTCTATCCACTAGGCAACACTGCCTGCGTGTTGTGGGGTGGGTGAGCTGCAAACAAAGGCACATTAGATACCAGCCTTCAGGTTTGCAAACCCCATCGTGTCTGGAACCGCCTGCTCCTGTGCCGAGCTCCTCCTCACATCCATGCCCATCTGGGGGTATGTCACTGACTCCAGAGCCTGGGGAGAACAATCCATAACAAACAGAACATCAGCAATCAGAACAGGTGATTGTGCATGTAAAAGATGGGAGGGTCATTAAAGTGCAGGGTATCCCTGAGCAAAGCGAGGTATAATGCAGGCCAGCTCTGGGCCCACACACAGCTCTGCCAACGCACCTCAATCCTGAGTCAGAGGCATCAATAGCAGGCAAACTGAACTCTTTGCAATACTGACCATTGCTCCTGTAGCTCTCTCTGTCTCCGGCTTTGCTTTGTCCTTTTGGATCGGACTGGATGCAGAATAACCCTACTTCTAGAAAGCCCAGAGGGAAATTAGGAGGTTAAGGAGCATGTCTCCACAGGGGATGCGTTTGGAATGAGACGAACATACACTGATCCTGGTGAATGCTGTTGCTCTGCTGTGCAGTGAGGGAAGATCTTCTAAAGCACCTAAAGGAGTTAGGAGAACAAGTCCCATTAACTTTCAATAGGACCTGTGTTCCTAAATCCCAAAGATGCTTTTGAAAAGCCCTCACCAGAGCTATATTTCCTGATCAGAGGGTGCATCTCAGTGTTAAAATGACTGGGAAGGTGCTCTGCAACATACTGCAGCAAACACCACAGTGCAGTAACCAGCCCTGCTGCACAAGCCTCCTCTACATAACTGTATATGCACATACACACGCGCATGCTCAGGGCTAGATCCTCAGCTGGTGTAAATCAACACCACTCCACTGACCTGGGTGATTTACGCTCCACAGAGGAGCTGCCTCTCGGCTTGCACAGCACAGGATGCGCGTAAGGACGTCCTCAGCGTGAGGGGAATGACGCCATCTCTGGGTGCCTGAGTGGCTTTGCAGAAGCAGGCAGATGCTAATCACTGACCCTTGGAAATGCCTTAGCTCAGTAATAGCACATAGATATCAGCTTAGCCTGTTTTTATCCCTTTACTGAGGGCATGTCCTCGCTTAGACCATCCAGCAGGGCCCTTATGCTAATGGCTGTAATTATATGCACTCTGCTAGCAGTGCAGCTCTCAGCAGGTCTTTGCTGTCCCCAGCCACTGCTGTCCGCATGCCCGCCTCCCCTGCAAACACGGTCCACGTGTGTTTCCTCTAACATCCAGTAAGGCCATGGGGCACAGAGGCTGTTCTGTCCAGAACTGATTCTAAAGGAAATGGACTCCTAGCTATGCAGACCAGGGGAGATCATTTGAGCCATCAAGGGTGGTGTCGCTGTGCTTTACAGACTCTTTCTATCACAGAACATAGGAATTGCCAGACATGTCGAACCCGTGGCCCATCCAGCCCAGTATTCTGTCTCCATCAGTGGCCAGATGCTTCCATGAAAGGTGCTAAAAACCCAGAAGTGGGCAATTGTGGGATAATCAACTCCTTAACCCTATCAGTTAGAGCTTGGTGCTTGCAGTGAAGGATGAGAGTTCAGATCCCTTCTGCATTTCAGTGAGTCCTGGAACACAGAGTTTAGCCTGGACTAAATCCTGAGATCAACCCCCTGTCCTGATTTTGGGACAGGTTCCATCTCAGCTCTTATTCCTTCGACGACCTATCTGGGCCCCTGACCTGCTGGGTGACCTTGAGCAAGTCATGTCCTCGCTCTGTGTCTGTCTTGGCTATGTAGACTGTAAGTTCTTTGGGGCAGAGGTCGTCTCTTACTATGTGTTTGTGCAGCACCCGGCACCACGGGGCCTTGATCTCAGCTGGGAGCTCAAGCCATTATTGCAGTACAAACAATAAATATCACTAGCTAACATGCTCCCTAGACACACCTCCTGGGCCAGCTGCTCCATCAGGAAAAAGTCCCAGGTGTTTGGCCTGAATTTTTCATCCCTCATTTTTCTTAAGCCTTTGTTTCTTGCCTTGCTCGTCTGTCCATTTCAGTGAGTAAAGTAGAGCGCGGAAGTGACATTTACCAAGTAAAAAAGCAACAGAGGGTCCTGTGGCACCTTTGAGACTAACAGAAGTACTGGGAGCATAAGCTTTCGTGGGTAAGAACCTCACTTCTTCAGATGCACTTGCATCTGAAGAAGTGAGGTT